TTTGCTAATTTGTTTGTACCATGTTAAGGAATTTTTTATCTTACTACTACCTTTTGTGGTCTGGGTATTTTAAGCAAATGGTAATTAAATGTGGGCAATTTCATATTCACTGGAACCCCTCCCAGTACCTTCCTGTGTCTGTTTTATTTTCACCCATGTCTTCATTCTCTTATTTTTCTCATCCTTTCTCATCCTCATCCCCCCCCACCCTGATAAGTGGTATACTTGTCAAAGCTGGTCTCCAACAGTCTTCAGCCAAGGTTATTTGTCTAGGTTTACAGTACCAGACATAAATGCCTTAGCCAGGTGTTTGTTTCCCCGAGATAAAAGTCCCACTGTTGCACTGTTGCAGCTATCTCGCAGGCCCGTTCATTTCTGCAGATCATAGAACTGCAGCTGCGTGAGCCAACACATTTCTCCTCTCCTTGTCAGTTGACACAATGCCTTCTGAGCCTGTGAAGGCCAGTCCTCAGGAGGATTTCAGGTCAACTAGACTGGAGTTCCTCCAATTCCTGTGTTGGAAGTATGTGGTGTCTTCAGCAATAGAATCTGAACTTGAAGACCTGGCTTGCATCCAATGACAACAACAATAGTCTATGTTGGTCTGAGAGTCTCTTAGACTCCCCCGTAAATTAACTCAATAGGAATTTTTTTATATATGGTCTCATCGTTTTTGTTCGGTTTTGACTCTTGCAGATAGCATCATCACCTCAAATGGTACACTTCATTTTTACATCAAACACAGCTGCACACACATGTATTTTATTAATGTACATTTAGCTTTAATGAGGAAAATTTATCTCAGAAAGAATGTAGGCAGCCATGCCTCTATAAGATATGTTTAATTTAAATCTTTCCTTTATTGAAGAATTTCCAACATGCTAGAACATTCCATTCCTAGGAAGGAGACTCTTAAACTAGAGTTTGAGTCTTCACGCTGCCAGCATCCAGTTTTTGCCATGTGTACAATGCCTAGGCCATGAGACAATGTGAATTCCACATGAAGGAAGGCTCTGCCTATGGAACCCGCACCACATACAGAAAGCTGCTCTTGTTGGATGCAGCAAGGAAAACACGGCAAGGCGATCTTCCCATGTCTGTCCATTTCTGTAACATTCCAGTGATGTGGTTGCATCTCCTGAAGGTCTGGGAAATCTTTAGCAAAATGATACCACAGGGCAAACCATCCTTACCAAAGTACTACCAAAAATATGGCAACACCACAGAGAGGGTGCTCATGGGAGTACTTGTGTCTAAACTTATCCAACAGAAAGATGCTCTTGGACAGGTGAGACAGGGGTCCTTGGCCTTCAGCTCATCAGACAGCACCTGTTTACATTGTCACTATCTGCCAATTTCACCCAGTGCACACTCAGGAATGCTGCCTCTTCCTGACGTTCCATTTCCTTACTTACCAGGGGATAAAGTCACACTCCACACATATACCCTATCTTCACCCTGAAATGGTGGAACCTCTTCCTTCAAATGAGGCCAGCAGAGTCTTGGCGTCTTTGTCCAATCTTTGCTGTGGCTGACTGTGTATTTGGGAGTTTTTCTTGGTCTGCCCTCTCTTAGGTCCCCTCAGCACTGGTGCTGGCTCTCAGATCCCCTCCACCCTGAAGCAGGATCTTTGGATTTCCTCAGCACAGAAGCAGGACCTCTTGCCGGGATTCAAGGACCTCACAAACCTAATTCATTTTTTTTTGTAAGTAACATATATAAAGAAAACCCTGTTTACAATATGAAATCAGATACATATCTGGATTTTCACTATTTGCATATATGGTGCAAAGGCCAGAAGAATGCATTGGATCTCCAGGACCTAGAAATACAGGCAGTTCTGAGGTATCTGATATGGTTGCTAGGAACCAAATGCGTGTACCCAAAAAGAGCAGTACTACTGAGTCCCCAAATATGTCATTATAATGCAGGAAATAAAGATGCCATTACTTCTGCCTCCTATCACTTGAAGGTGATGAAACCACTAGATTGTTGTGAGATGATTTAATGGTTTTTTTCTCCCTCTGTGAACTGATTCTGCACATGGCTTATTTTTGTCACTGTTAACACAGCTCTCTCAATGTGAGTAAAGATAACAAGTTTTGATTGAAACCAGAGTCCAGATTATATAGAGAAAGTTCCATAATTTGAGATCTGCTTTTTCTTTGCAGGATTATTTTTGAGACAGGACATCACTATGTAGCCATGGCCGAAGTGGAACTCATTACGTGGACCAAGCTAGTCTCAAATTCAGAGAGCTCGGACTCCCACTGTCTACCAAGTCCTTGGATTACATGCATGCACAAGACACAGCTATGACTTTTTGTAATGACCTATCGATAAATCAGAGACTATGGGGTAAAATATAATGTCAAAAGTAACAATCAGGGGGCTGGAGAGATGTTAAGAGCATTGCCTGCTCTTCCAAAGGTCCTGAGTTCAATTCCCAGCAACCACATGGTGGCTCACAACCATCTGTAATGAGGTCTGGTGCCCTCTTCTGGCCTGCAGGCATATACAGACACAATATTGTATACACAATAAATAAATATTAAAAAAAAAAGTAACAATCAAGGGTTTGGTGAACAGTGAATGATACTTCTTCAAATTCTAATTCTTCAAATTATAATATTAATTTGAAATTCCAAATAATTTCATATTTTCAATAACTGGGCTATCTGTTTGCTAATCTGATCCATTTCAAATGTTTGAACTGTGTTTGAGTGTACACATCTGTGCGTTGTGAGTCTGTGGCAATGGGGATAACAGAGGTTTCCACTATCTACTTCTTCTAGAAGACTAGAAATGAGACCAGGTTTGGCTACACATGACATTATTGGCCTTTAAATGAGTTTCAAAATTATTTATGTATGTTGTGGTGTGTGAGTGTGCATATTCCACAGACGAAGTGTAGAAATAAGAGAAAATTTTGTCGGAGAATATGGGTCTCCCAGAGATGGAACTCCTGTCATCAGGCTTAGCAGCAATCAGTTCTACCCACAGAGACAATTCTCTGGCATTAATTTGTGGTTCTGAAAAAGTGTTATAAACAAGCATTTAGTCCTTAGAATAAACTAACACAATCAAAATTAAAAGAGAGTAGTATATCATTTTCATTTGCAAACAGGATTTATTATTTAAATTGTTCTGTTTTCATCCATTCTTAAAAAACAGTGTTTATAATTTGAAAAGAAGACAATAATTTACTGATGCAATGTTTCAACTCATCTTGTTTGAGCATCAGTGAGAAGGTTCAGTGTGAAATGTCTGTTGTGTGCAACACTGGAACCTGACCATGATCCTCATATGAAGATGCCCAAAAGAAGAACCCACAAAATTGTCTTCTAGTCTCCACACATCTGCTATGGCCTACAAACCTAGAACCAAATTACTGACACACTAAATAGATTTTTTTCAAATAAATCTCGTTGCCGTTATATTATCCATATCTATGGATAAGCAGCTTAGGAGGCAGTACTCTAAGAGAAAGTGCCAAATAGATAAGTAATTGGGACATGAAGAAGAAAATGGAACACTAGAATAATATATACAAATCCATAGTGCATCAGGCTATGTTATGAGATATAGAGTTGATTGCTGATTATCCTACTTTATTACATACATGCCAGATAAAAGAAAATCCTGCTTTGACTATACACAGGGGTATTTACTGTTTCATAAATTCTCTACAATTACGTATTTCAACACTAATATTGTTAAGTCACGCTGACAAAACAGCACATGTTGGGGACACATCTTCTACCCTTGGACTTGTACCCAGGAGGCTGATACATGAAAATCATGAGTTCAAATGTATCCCTAACTAACTACTAACATCCAAGTCATGCTGCAGAAGAACAACAACCTTAAGGGACTTTAAGAAAATATGAAATAAAGAACCAGGAAAAGCAGTTGACTAAATTTTCATAGACACTGTAATCTGAAAACTATGATCGCACACTACCTCGATTTGAATAAAGAATGCACCACTTAGATGACGGGCATCCCATTCTATACACTGCAAAAGAAAAATGGTTCTACATGAAAGCACGATGGAAAGTGAGCAGAAGCCACAGAAGGAATAGAAGGACCACAAAATAAACTTCACTAAATGGAATCGGCACACATATCTACTTCAAATGTTTCAAAGTAGAAACCACAATGCACTGATCTCTACCATCAGACTTGATGAACATGGTAAATAATTTACTTCCTTCAAGACTCCTGAGAAAGAAATGAGACAAGACTTTTTTCTTGAAACTGAAGACAAGCCGGGCAGTGGTGGCGCACGCCTTTAATCCCAGCACTCGGGAGGCAGAGGCAGGCGGATCTCTGTGAGTTCGAGACCAGCCTGGTCTACAAGAGCTAGTTCCAGGACAGGCTCCAAAACCACAGAGAAACCCTGTCTCGAAAAACCAAAAAAAAAAAAAGAATATAAGATCAATTGGGCTGGAGATATGGCTCAGTGGTTAAGAGCACTGCTCTTCCAGGGGACCCGAGTTCAATTCCCAGCACCCACATGTTAGCTCACAACTGTCTGAAGATCCAGTTGCAGGTTATCTGACACCTTCACACATAAAAATAAAGTTAAATAAACCATAAAAATATTAAAAAAAAAATGAAACTGAAGACAAGTGCGATGTCTAAAGTCTTTGTACATGAACGGGGATTTTTCTCGTATGAGTTCTTCCCTATTTCCTGACATCAGGATGATATAAAAAGGATTTAAACATTTACAGGGATAGAGACATGGTTGAGCAGTTAAGAACAGTTCATTGAGGACCCGGTTTTAGACAACTTCCTGTAATTCCTGCTACAAGAGATCCAAGGGTCTATCCTTCTTGGGAACTGCCGGGTTCTCAGGAAGAAAGAGCAGGCACAGAGCAGGATCTGCTGGACTCTCCTTGGGGCTGAGCAGCACGGTGAGTGTCCAAACAACCCAGCAGCCCTCTCCCCCTGGCCACCTGGAGAGAAACACACCGAACTGGGTGTCTGTTGAAGCAGGATCTCCTTTAATGGTATCAAGAAGGATCTTGTATAGGGTTCTGACGGTGTGGAGAAGCTTGGGTGGGTTGAGGAGGAGTAAGGAATAAGGGCCAATAATAGTCTGCCATGCTAGAGGTGGCTGAGCAGAGGAAGGTCTAGGTGGGGTAGCCAGAGACAGGTCTCCAAACTTGAGCTATGCTCAGGAAGTGACACTGGGCCTTGCGCCTGGGCCTCATGAAGCCCAACAGGGAACAAGTGTGTACATGCACAAACCCTCACAAGACACACTGACATCACAAAATTAATATTAAAACAAATCTGTAAGCAAATTTTCCTCTCATGATAGTTTTTCTAAGCATTCATTCCTCTAACACAGGGGCCGAGGCATCTAAAGGCTTACTTACAGAGCTTTTTTCATCATGAGTTGGTAGATGGGACACAAGACAAACATGTGGGCTTCAAGTCAGAGAAATCAATCCTTCTCAGTTCTTGGTGTCATTTGGGAAGATTAAGGAAATACTGCCCTACTGGAAGAAATTTGTCACACGGGGTTAGGCTTTCACAATCCACATACATGTCCAGTTCCCACACTGCTTCATGCAGCAGGTTAAGGATGTGAGCTCTTAGTCTCCTGCTTTAGCTGGCGTGTCTGACATTGGTGGCCATGTCACTTTCCTGGTGATCCTGTATCCCTCTGGAACCAATGGCCAAATAAATGACTTTTATAAGCTGATATGGGCATTATATCACAGCAGCAGAAAAGGCACAGATACACATCCACAAACATTTACAGCTCGATTAGTTACTTCATATTATTGAAGAGCTGTGTGAAATCTAAAAGGGTTACTTTGTTTAAATTCTTAAGGACTTTCTTCCATATTAGTTTGCAGGTACAAACAAAATAAAGGACGCTATGATGCTTGTAAAGATAGCTGGCACTGTCAGATTTTTTTCTCCAGAATCAACATTCGTGTAAAAAAAAAGTGTGTTAGCTAAAGATGATGCCAAATCCTTTATAGTCAGATTACCTTCGAAACTGGTCTTGTAGGTCCTCATAGAGTACTGTAATATGAGAAGGTTTTAACAGATTGATTTTGCAAGAAAAGTTTACTCTTTTGGAAAAACTACCATGAAATACAAAACCTTACCACGCTGACTAAATTTATAGGGTTTCTATGCAGTATATTTTCTCATGATTTCGAAGACTTCTGATATATGCAAAGGCTTTACCACACTGATTGCATTCATAGGGTTTCTCTCCAGTATGTGTTCCTTTATGCCTTAGAAGAAAGCTCTGATGTGTAAAGGTTTTGCCACATTGATTACACTGATAGTCTTTCTCTCCATGATGTATTCTTTTATGCCTGTTTAGATTACTAGGATATATAAAGACTTTATCACATTGATCACACTCATAGGTTTTCTCTCCAGTATGTGTTCTTTCATGCTTTTGAAGATAACTGTGTCGAGAAAAGGCTTTGAGACACTGACTACATTCATAGGGTTTCTCTTCAGTATGTGTTCCTTTATGCCTTTGAAGAGAACGGTGTTGTGAAAAGGCTTTACCACACTGATTACATTCATAGGGTTTCTCTCCAGAATGTGTTTTTTTGTGGCTTTGAAGATTACTGTGTCGTGAAAAGGCTTTCTGACACTGATTACATTCATAGGGTTTCTCTCCAGTATGTGTTAATTTATGCCTTTGAAGATATCTGTATTGTGAAAAGGCTTTACGACACTGATTACATTCAAAGGACTTCTCTCCAGTGTGTGTTCTTTTATGCCTTTGGAGATAACTGTGGCATGCAAAAGTTTTACCGCACTGATTGCATTCATAGGACTTCTCTCCAGTATGTGTTCTTTTATGTATTTGGAATTGACTGTGACATGCAATGGCTTCATCATGTTGAATATCTTCATGGTGTTTCTCACCAATATGAATTCTTTTGCGCCTTTCAAGATGACTGTAACATGTAAAGGGTTTAACACATTGAGTATATTCAGAAGGTTTCTTCACACATGTAAAAGTTTTACATTGATTACACTGACAGATCTTTATATCTGTATAAATTAATTTCACAATTTGGTCTAATTATAAAGAAAAATAAGATTTAAGGTTTTGTCTCTTTGTTTAAATACATGTTTATCCTTTATTAAGGTTTCTTTGAATTTAAAGATACCCATTATGGTCAGAGCTCTTATTACATGGTTCACATTTATACCACCCTTTTTCTATAAGAGATTTTACACATATATGAGGAGAACTAGACAAACATAGAGTATTACCACTCTTATGACATTCATGAATTTTCCTACAGTATGGGTCACACTACATTTGCAAAGTGAACCATGACAAACAGAAGTGTTTACAAATCCGCAGTACTCCTAAGGCTTTTCTGCACTGTGAGCTTGTTGATGTATTCCCAATGCAGCTGAAGAATCAATTACTTATAACATTGAATCACAATCAACAAGTCTAGTAAAAGTAGAGACTACTACATATCTTCTAGTTGTTCTGTGAGAGATAGTGTTACCTCTTACCATATGACTATGCTCATATGGTTCAACCCAGACTGACATATAATTTATCTATTAAAGGAAAAATAACAAATAAAAGGTTTCCACATTGCATTTACACAGGTTGACTCTTTGTTCCTCATAGACTTGTGGTCTAGGGATTTCGGTTGCTCCACAAGTACTGTCCCTTGACTCTATCTGCCCATCTCAATAAACTTAGCAAAATCATCACAAGCAAATAGGTCATACTGGCTTTGCTATAGACTATTTGATTATTAGAATGTGTATTATCAATGTGTATACCTTTTGTAATATGTGTGCTATGAAACTACAGATTGGCAGTTCTACAGCACAGCTTTCACTCAGCTGTGATTCAAATGGTGATAACTGTTAAGACACTCTTGTTTTCTTTCTTAATGACTGGCACATACAACTTTCCTACATGACATTGAGGTATACGACTTTTTAAGAATTTAATAACCATCAATACACTTTAAGCTATGTTTATTTACATTGGTGCTTTTCTTTAAAATATTCAGGACACATTAACCATTTCTCAGAGGCATAATTATATCAGTATGCATATGTAAATTACCTTCCATGTCTTCTAGGACTTTGAGAATGCTCTTCAATACTACAATCTTCCCATGTGTAGCCTAAAATATATTATCAGAAAATTTGTGATATATTATTGGAAATTGTGCAAAACTTAAGCTAATATCTTCGGTGAACCTTAGCACCATGCATAATTTATTCACCACACTCTTCCTCTTTCTCAATCAAATTACAGAAGAAACTCAAAAACCAAGAAACACTTGTCCGATTATTTTAAAATGTGAGATAATTTCACCATCTTACCAATAGCAGTGAGGTTCCTGAAGGTCTCCAGCATCACATCATTGTAGAGATTCTTCTGGAAAGGGTCCAGCAAAGCCCACTCATCCGGAGTGAAGCTCACATGTACATCACTATAGGTCACTCCACTCTAAAATAACCCATACACATGTAAAGCAAAAGATGTGATAGCAACAACATTGCAAATGTATACTTGTTTGACAGTACAGTCATCTAATTCTACTGCTCCTCTCACTTATTTCATGACAGGGACATTTTAATACCATCACCACATCACTACAGATAGCATCTAAAGAGGAGGTTCACTTCTGTCATTTCTGTAACCTTTGAATGGGATATGCCTTGCAAGGGAAATGCAGTGCTCAGTAAACATCAGAGAAATTGTATGATCCATTACTAACAACAAAAAAGATGGGCCAGCTGGGTGTATTGACTCATGCCTTCAATCCCAGCACTTAGAGGGCAGAGGCAGGTGTGACTACTTCTGAGTTAAATGTACAGTCTGTGCGATCAGTTCCAGGACAGCCACAAATACATATGACAACCTTGTCTCCCCTGAAAAAAAATCAACCAACCAAAAATAATAAAACTCAGAGTGTTTTTAACTGGAGTTCCTAAAAAGAGCTATGCGTGCACTCCAGTTCTGTATTCATATTGCAAAACCTGAAGGGTCCCACATTAAAGGCGAACATTAATAAGGTCTTACTAAAAGGAACTGCATGTTTAAAGAGTTACAAATGGACAGGTGGAAACATTAGCAAAGTAAACAAACACTGATCATAAACAAGGGCAGAAGAGATGGCTCAGGAGTAAAGAACTCTGGTTCTTCTACATATAGGTCAGCCCAATTGCCAGTACTTACATGTATGGGGGATCATAACTATCCATTACTCAAAGCTCTGGGGTTCTGAGGCCATCTTGTGACTACTGTGAGGACCAGGCACACATGTGGTACACATCCATGAATACAGGCAGACTAATATTTATTAAAAAATCAAAATGGAAACAAAAGCTAGAAAAATGTCACACCACTGCAATCCAATGACTCAAGCAGTATGAATGTCGTGAAGATGTGTTCTGGGAAACAGAACGAAACCCTCTGCCAAATTCAAAATTCAAGATCGGGGTGAAGCTCAGCACCATAGCACTTGATTGACTGTACAAAAGCCTGCTTTCCAGGCCCATCACCCAATAATATTAGAAAAAGCCAAAATGTTGTCCCACCTTCAATCCCAGCTCTTTGGAGACAGAGACAGGAAGATCTGTATTCAAGTAAAACACAGCTACTTTCAGGGCAACCATGGTAACACAGACAAACCTTGTCTTCAAAAAAACAAAAAACAAAAACAAAAAAACAGGTTAGCAAAATGGCCTTAGCATTGAATAGCCACTGCTTCTACTGTACCTTATGTGATTTAGGGATACAGTCTGTATAGTGGTTAAGGCAAGACAGAATGAGAAGGGAACTGGGTGACCAGTTCCAACCACAATACAGTAGACACAAAGAACAGGAAATCTGTTCAGGCTATAAACACTCATGTCCCGTCTGCAAAGAGGAATTTTTATCCAGAAATGCTTCTCCTACTAAAGGTTCCACCAGTACCCCAAATAAAGTCACCAAGGATAGACACATATTCAAATAAATCATACATCATCCTTTCTGGAAGGTTTTTCATTCAGTCGACTAGATTCTGACCCGGGTCACTCTAGGCTTATGGTCCTCCATGAAGAAAATGAATTGAGTCTAACTTCAATGATTCTCATAGTCAGCAACAGCCAATGCACTGTACAAATGTCAGAAGTCTCTTCTGACACTCAAGACAATCCCTAGGCACATTGTAAAATCACAAAGTAATTTCCAACTCCCATTCCAAAGGAGAGGTAAGGGGACACAGTGAGAAGGCAAGACTGAAACCCAGCAGACCAGCCACTGAATCCTGTAGTCTGGATCAGACACATGCTGTTTCAGTTTCTAAAGTCTTTGATGGCCCTGTCCCTGCAACTTTTCATATGTCTCTCTCTTTGCCTACTACCACTTCCTATGTGCAGCTCTCCATGGCAGATAGCTCACAGCATTCATGGGCTCAAAATACAACCCAGGCTTCATCCTCACAGCATCATGCTCTCACAGTATCCTCAGAGACTCTGAATCTCCCAAAGGCAGATGCCTGTAACAGCGCTGAGCTGAAACCACAGACTGAAAAATCCATGACCTTAAGTTTTGCACCTTTTTTATCCAGAACCAATAAAACCTCAATGATTCCCCAAATTTAGGGTCTGTGTTGTAATGGACTCTGCCATGCTTGGACCAGAGTTGCAGCTGATTCAGTATGAAGTTGTTTCTTTGGACTAGGAATCTCTTTGCCTATTCCTACCATAGACTGCAGGCTTACCTGGATAGAGTCCTTCCTGGGCTTTTAATGCTGAGCAAGGGCCTTCTCTTCAATGTTGCTAAACACGTGGGAATTTCTTAGCTCCATTTCCTCCTTACATCTGCTGTTTGCAACCACCTAGTGCTGTTTAGCTCTACAGAACAGACTTTGATTTCATCCTGCCCCACTTGTTTCTTTTCACTAAACACCTGAATGAGTCATTTGTAATACCATCCACGGATTCAATATTCAATCTTTGAAAGCCATACATGATTTTTAAATTCTGCCTTACTCAATTTCTTGCTGTGATTCTGATGGGGACTGCATTGAATCTATAGGTTGCTTTTGGTAGGATTGACATTTTGACTATGTTGATCCTCGGAATGTGGGTGACAGTTGTATGGCTGGGGCAGACTGTGGGGCCACGAGCACTGGCACCAGGATTTATCCCTACTGCTTGTACTGGCTTTCTGGAAACCCATTCTCTTTGGAGGGATACCGTGCTCAGCCTAAATATAGTAGGGAGGCCCTTGGTCCTCCCTCAAGCAATGTGCCTTACCATCTCTGAGGAGTGGACAGGAGTGGAGTGGGGAGGAACACGGAAGGAACAAGGGGAGGGAATGGAAACTGGCATTGGTATGTAAAATGAAAAAAGTTTCATTTTGTTTTTTTAAATAAAAAAATAGAAAAAAGAGAATGCTGTAATAAGAGACTATAAAACTTTGTCCCATATAATATGTTACCTGCTGAGCGCTGTAACCTGACACAGAGTGACAGCCTGGTCTATGTCTCAAACCTCTCAGCTGACTTTACTATGTCAACCAGGACTGCACATATCTGCATGGGAGAGTTCCCTAAATGGAAACCGAATACTCAGTGGTTAAAGCTGCCCTCCCTAAATTATAAACCCAACAATTATGGCTGTCTTTATCCACACGGAAGGAATTAATACATGCTGGGAAATTACACAGGCAGTAACTCACTGTGCCCCATCAGGTCCTTCTTTATGATGGAGAGCGCTGCAGCTCACTGCCTTAAAGGTTGTCTGTAATCTACCTATGCCTAGTCTGTTTCCCCTGCAGTGTACACACAAGTCTGTTCCTCCCTTCTGATCTGAAGGGAGAGCCATGCTCCACGAGCAAATCCTTCCCCTGTTCCTGTCTATTGACAGTCCATTCTGTGATTCGAACTAATAATTTTAGGACTTGGTGGTGCTATAAAGGCTATAAGCCAAAAATGTAGGGGGCTTAGTCAGAGGGCTAGCAAGGGCAATGCCCTGTGCGTTATACACAGGGTTTAAATCAGTCTCAACCAACACTGAAGACCTTGTCTCAAAACTGCCTTTAAAATATGTTTAACCTGAAGCTGTTTAAGAATTAATATATCTTTATGTCACAACAGGACGTGATGTTGGCTGTGACCCTGTAATGGGTCTTTGAGCAGCATGTTAGAGGTCTGTTCTTGATGTGGGGGAGGAGGCCTTATGGCCCCTTGTAAATCAGCTTTATCTCCTTTATTCTGGGAATGTAGCTTAATGGCTGATTAATGCTGGTGAACAGACATTTACATTTATCATACTAATCTCTACTAGGCATGCTGTTTATCTTTGGGAGTATTTGGGAGGTACTCTTCCCTTAACTAAACCCTACTTTATGTGACCTAATGTCTCTTTATGGTTGGTAAAAGCTTATACCATCAATTTCTATTCTTCTACATCAGTTTAGCATTAGAACGCTACTCTACACAGAAGGTATCATTTCCAAGCTCCACAAAATTAACTCCAGTCGGATCCTATGTAAAAATGTTTAATTCTACAAGTGCAGAACTTCTGGAAGATACTAGAGAGACCAGGGTTCTCCGAGTTTGGCAAATCTGCCTTCCATTGTGGCAATACAAACTCTACAGGCACCAGAATTTCACAGTAACGTCAACGAGGACATTTGTAAACATGATCCCACTCTGCAGACGGCAGACTTAAATTATTCCGAGGCTGCTGCCCAGGGCAATGACAAGGATCACAGGGAAACCACGGAGGACCAGCAGGAACATGCAGAACTCAGCGTCTGGCCGCTAGTTCCCACCCAGACTACGGAGGACGCCACACTTGGGCTCCTGTGGTTCAGCAGGCTGCTCCACCCGGCCTGGAGACAGTGGCCCCTCGCTCACCATAGCCTGGCTGCAGAGTACAACCATGTTCTGCCCCACATGAAGCCCACGATCCTGCAAAAATTTCAACTTCCGACTTCCTCAAGCGCCGCAAAGCCTGGCAACCGGAAGAGCCTCCTCCTTTCTGACTGGCAGAACCGGTGGCGGATCTGATTGGCTCCTAAGGCCTGAGTGACAGGTCGCAGTGGGCTGAAGGAACACAACACAATGTTCTCAGCCCTAACTTCCTTTCCAATCACAGACCTATCCCAGATTTGCTGGAGATGTGTGCCAAATTCTACAGCAATCTCTTGTTAGTGTAACATCCACAGCAGTGTTGCTTGTCACTTGTATTCCTGATCATAGCCATTCTGCCTGCAGTGAGACGGAGGTTTGAAGTCTTGAATCTGTGTTTCCGGAATAGGCAGGCATCAAATACTCTTGAGGATGTTTGCTAGCTCGCTACTCTGCACGCCTTTCATCCCACCATCAGGAAACCACAGGCAAGTGGCTATCTGTGAGTTCCAGGCCACGCTTGGTCTGCACATGGACAGTCAAGAGCTACATAGTGAGACCCTGTCTCAAAAATAAAAAAGAGTTTACTAGCCATTTGTATTTTTTTGTAATTTTTTTTTTTAGATTATAATTCCAGGAGCCTGTGTTAAAAAAAAAAAAAAAAAAGCTTTGAATTTACAGTGAAGTACGGCAGGAGTGCAGAATGTTCTTTCCACCGGGTGCCCTTCTAGAAAGGACTGTACAAAATGTAAGTGAATATACTTGAAAGCAAGGGTATGGAAAAGGCAAAGGCCTGAGAGGGACTAAAGAAGATAAACCAGACCACCAGGTATATCTCTCAGTGCGCTTGTATTTGCTTAAGTTCACTGTAGAAGTCACCTCGTGCCTTGCTCGCTTTAAGAATGAAAGTGGGAAGTGCTTTATTTGCACAACTCTTAAGTCTGGAGTCTCTGGTTATTTCTTGTAGAGCTTTTTTTTTTTAGATGTATTTATTTATTATGTATACAATGTTGTCTGCATATATGCCCGCAGGCCAGAAGAGGGCGCCAGAGCTCATTACAGATATTTGTGAGCCACCACTTGGTTGCTGAACTCAGGACCTACAGTGCTCTTTACCGCCGAGCCCATCTCTCCAGTCCCCCTTGTAGATTGTTTCACATAACTTTCAATTGGAATAGATTTAGTCTCCCTGGCAAGGGAAGGTAATAATTACATTTCTCCCTTCCCTTTCATTACTCCAAACCCTTTCCTGCTCTCCACCAAATTCAAGGCTTCTATGTCATTAACTATTATTGCATGCATAAAGTATATACATATATGCATGTATATTTCTAAATATACGTTCTTCAGTCCGTGTTAGTTGTATGGATGCTCTCAGGGCTGACTATTTGATACTGGACAACTGACTGGTGTGCTCTTTCCTGGGGAGCACCACCTCTCCTGTTCGCAACTTTCCCCAGTTGCCTGTAATTCTTTATGTGGGGTTGAAGCTTCCTGGGCTCTTCTCTGCCCACTTTGGCATAGCCATTGGTGTCATCCTTGTTCATTCTTGGGCAGTCATGTTGGTGAGACTTTACGAGTATAGCTTCTGACCTTACTAGGAAACATAACCTCCCAGCAAACTTCCTGGATGCTCTGGCTCTTACGATCTTTCCATTCCCTCTTCCTCAATTTCCCCTGAGCCTTAGGTGTAGGAGTGTTTTATACATGTACATTGGGGCTGATCTCCACAACTCTGCATATTGACTGATTGTGGTTTTCTGTAGTCTCCATCTGTTGCAAAGAGAAGTTTCCTTGATGAGGGTGAGGACTCCACTTCTCTGTAGGGCTAAGGACAAATGTTTATAGACTGTTGATAGGGATGATGTTGGTTTAGCAAATGAGTGGATGTAAATTCTCCGCCAATAACCAACCTCACTAGCTCTGAGTAGTTAGGTTGGCTTCTAGTACCAAGCATGGTTGCCCTCTGGTTGAGCAGGTCTTAGGTCCAATTAATCCAATTATGTCCAAGGTATACGTGACACTCCTGCACCCCGGTTATCATGTCATGCTGGCTGATGTGATTCATAGGTATCACAGCTGGGTGTCAGAGTTGGTTGCCTCCCACTTCTGGAAGCTTGCATGGTGCCTTCTGGTACCAAGAAAGCTAATCCACAGGGAACAGGAATTCAGGTTAGTTCTAGCTCAGGGTATTATAGCCACTTTTATATCATGGGTAAAATAATGCTTTCTACCTTGGGGCTGGTTTGTTTTTGGTTGGTTTTTGTTCGAGACCAGGTTTCTCTGTAGCTTTGGAGCCTATCCTAGAACTAGCTCTTGTAGGGAAACCAATGTGATGCAGGAGTTTGGGAGGAGACTTTGAGACAAAAATGCTTGGGTCTATGGGAACAATCGCACCTCTGGAACCAGCTTCTCGTTGAGTGTAAATAGCACATGATGATTGACTAATAAAAGGCATTCATTCTGCTGTAAAGCTGAAGAAAATACCGGCTTATGAAGGCTCAGAGAAGCGAGACAGAAGGAATCCGGTTGCTTGCTGTGCTGTGTCTTGAGAATGAGGACTGAGGGGAGACAATGATATTTCCCCCAAGAGTATTATCAGGGAGGAAACTTGATTTGGAAATGGTAAACCTCTGACATCCTTACATTTTGAAACATCATGCCATATGGTTTCCAGAACCCATGATCAAAGAGGATCAAGCCAAAAAAAGTATCTCCCTTCACCCATGTGTAGGTTGAGATTCTCTCTGGCTAGACTAGGTGTGAGGGCCAGACCGCTTGAGGGCCTGTACTTGTAATTAGTTATGTCTACACTGCAAGTAGATATCCTGAAAAACCTGATGGATAACTCCCTTCTTACCTACAAAAATACAACACTGTGACTGATACTCCCCACTAGAGACACGTGTCCCATCCTCTAGTTTATGTTTAGGCCGGGCTTAACTATAGAAAACTATCAGGCACTTTCTCTTTGAGGCCTACATCAGCCTAGCGGTGCCCTGTGACCACTCTCTAGTATAACAACAAAAATCTATATTGGAATATCTTCCACCTCTTCTTTGCCTTCCTTTAGAGACCTCTGCGATTTCTCCCATATCCTGCCTTCATCCCCCTGTGAGCAACCATGAGGAAAAGGAAGGCCTGTGGGTCTCTCTGATCCCTGTCCCCTGCCCACTCTCACTAGGGAGGGGAGCCTGTCGACACTAGTCACTCTTAACTTCCCACACTATGGCCCTGATAAATTCTTTTAGATGAATGCTGTTTCTCCATTTGCTTCAGCCTTTTTATGCAGCCTTGGACTCCAACCCATAGAATGCTGTCACCGACATTTGCTGTGGGTGTCCCTCTCTCAATGAATCTAATTTGAATAAATCACTCAAAAGCACGCCTAGAGGCTGATCTCCTAGATGACTCTAGATAAATCGACAACATTAACAAGCACAAGAATGATCTCGGCCAATAAACTAATTTTTGAAAGAACAGAGTCAGAATAACAGCATTTTGCAATAAATAATCCAATAAATTAATGGATCCAGATATTTATTCCCAATTAGTATTCACAGCCCAACAAATTTTGAACATCTGACAGAATTACATCCCTATAAACTATTTGTTCCACATATGCCTGCTAATTGGGATACTTAAAACTTATAAACCACATCTTAAAAATTTAGGAAACACCCCGCCGGTTAATCCTAGCACTCGGGAAGCAGAAGCAGGCAGATCTCTGTGAGTTCGGGTCTAGCCTGTTCTATAGAGCGAGTTCCAGGACAGGCTCCAAAGCTACAGAGAGAAACCCTATCTCGAAAAGCAACAAAAAAAAAAAAAAAAAAAAAAAGGAAACTGATGACGAACACGTGTACCCAAACCCATCGCTCTGCCCAGAGCGGTTCTCTGAGGCTCTTCGCGCTGCGCTCTGTCCAGTGTACCTGCGCACAGAGAACTTCCTCTCGGATGCCTAGGAGGAAACGGAAGTGCCGCTCCACGTAGCCTTGGAGACGCGGGGGAGGCGTAGCCCGAAGCACGACCTTTGACCCCTCACTCGGCGGCGTCGGAGACCGCAGCAGCCCGGATTCCTGAGGAGGCGGCGGTGGCCGCGGGTCGCTGTGGCTGCGATGGAGGTAATGGTTGAGTCACGCCACCCTGCTGGTCTTCTGCGCCACTCGAGTTAGTGGGAGGGCACGGCGAGCATCTGTCCCCGCTCGGCGGCTCGGCCCCCGCCGCTGCGCTCGGCGTAGAGCCTGGTCTGGCGCTTGCCGTGGCGATGGCCCCTGCTTCTTGCTTCCGAGGAGGCTCTTCCTCACCCCAAGATCATTTGGCCGCGCGTTGCTCCCGGAATTGGGATGAACTCTTGTGACGATTTTGTTTTGCAGGATCCTGTTCAAGATGGGGTGGCTGCTGCACCCTCCGGGACCGGGAAATCCAAGGTGAGGAGAGCCCTGTACTGCCAGGTTCCCTGGAGCGCGGAAGGGTAATGAATTGGAAAACTTGGGCATGGGAAAAGGATTTCTTCTTTAAAAGAAGTCACCTTTCTTCAGAGATTTCCATTTTAATTTATAATCACCCATTGATTTCCTGTTTCTTTTTTTAATTTCCTGATGGGCAAGCAGTTTGTTTACTTCCTGCTCTTTGTTAGCGCTATGCTGAGAGATCCTGCTATATTTCAGACATTTGACTGTTTTATGAAAGTTTACACAGTGACGCAATGAAGAGGGGATTAGATAAGGGGAAGAATCAAGAAGCTATATCCTCTTGGCTCCAGCTCCATAGTCAAACGATGATTGAATAAGGTCCTTCTTACAGCCCTGTGCAATGTTTAATGTTCAATGATTCTGAAAGACAGTAGTTTTCTTGGCCAAAATGTATCGTTTGCATAGTGAGTTCCAGGCATTTGCCTAAGCTTTCAATTCTTTCATTTAAGCTTCCTGAAACAATTACCTCGTTAGAGGAAACTAAGTGCACAAGGATTAAATAATTTTCAGAATTAGTAAAGTCTGATATTCTGGTATTTTAGTTAAACCCTAAATGTTACC